TTGCGCTAATACTGTCAAAAACACATGAGGTTTACATATAAACACAGTTGGTTATGTAAAAAGTTGAGATAAAAACAGATGCATGTAGGTCTTAAAGTGACAGCAGTCTAATAGTACTAAACATGCTGCCGCTTGTCATTAAAGGAAAAGTTCACCCAAAAATTTAAATCCTGTCACTATTTACTCACTCTCATGTTGTACCACACCTGTATTAATTTCTTTCCTGCGCTGAACACAAAATAAGATATTTTGAAGAACGTGGGGAACCAAACAGTTGCTGGTCCCCATTGACTTTGATAGTAGGAAAATAAAAATCCTTGGAAGTCACTGGGGACCAGAAACTGTTTAGTTTCCCACATTCTTCACAATAACTTTTGTGTTCATCAGACGAAAGAAATTCATTCAGGTTTAAAACAGCTTGAGAGTGAGTAAATGATGACAGAATTTTAATTTTTGGGTGAAATGTCCCTTTAATGTTAATTAAACAGCAAAACGGTTGAAAAATAAATACAGTAAAAGCAGTAAAAATTGTGAAATATTATTACAATTTAAAATAGCTGTTTTCAATGTGAATATCTGTTAAACTGTAATGTATTTCTGTGATGCGCAGCTGTATTTTCAGCATCATTACTCCAGTCTTCAGTGTCACATGATCTTCAGAAATCATTCTAATATGCTGATTATTAGAAACATTTCTGATTATTATCAATGTTGAAAACAGTCGTGCTGCTCAATATTTTTGTGGAAACTGATACATTTTATTTTTCAGGATTCACAGATTAACAGAAAGTTCAAAAGAACAGCATTTATTTGAAATAGAATCTTTTGTAACATTATAAATGTCTTTACTGTCACTTTTGATCAATTTAATGCATCCCTGATGAATGAAAATATTAATTTCTTTCAAAAAGCTCTGGAACAGTAGTGTATTAAGTGGTGTAACGTAGAAAGTGAAGGTTTGTTCAGCATGTGCTGTCTGGGGTTAGATATCTGTCGGTTGGTTTGTCGCAGAGCTGTGTGAAGAGCTTGCCACATGTTAGGGACGTGACCCCACAACCCCATAACGGTTAACCTTTGACCTCTAACTGCTGCTTGTCTGCATATGAGTCTCTGTCTGTGTCTCTCTCCCCACGTCCCTCAGTTTCAGCAGGCTCTTCAGCTCTTCGTCCAGCACCACAGCCCAAAAACCAGACGTAGCGGTTAACATGAAGTACAACGCACCCAGCTCACACATCGTCCCCTCGGTGAAGAAGAGGAGCAGCATGCTCGCTCAGCTGCCTAGTGACAAATCCAGAGCCTTTGACTTCCTCAATGAGGAGTGAGTGACTCTCATTCAGATGCCTCTACACTGTGATGTCCGTATTTTCCGATCTGAAGTATGACCCACATGAGTTGCAGAGAGTGTGAGAGTGTGTGTGCGCGTGCGTGCGTGTGCGTGTGTGTGTGTGTGTGTGTGTGAGTGTTTGTGTGTGTGAGTGTT